ATATATATATATATCAAAAATTCATTTTTCAAAAAAATCAAAATTTCTTTTTCAAGAAATCCAACTTACACTGTTCACAGCTCCTTCCACTCCAACCAGGACAACAGTCACATTCAAAATCATTCACTTTGTCGATACACTTTCCTCCATGCTGACACAGAGAGGGTTTGCAATCATCGATATCTATGGACAGAAAAACATTAATACATTGTACTTCGATGTTACACCAGGAATGAAGAAATCACGACTAGTGTACAACCTGTTGCCACTGCACATGGCTTTCACTGAATTGGAACCTAAACAGATTTTTGAGGTACTCGACAAGAGTCTTCATCACCAGACAGGAAGATAATGTCAACTCTAGATCTAGCATACTGTCAGCTCAGTGTGATTGCAATGACAAGAAGTGGGAGTCAGTTTTTAACTGGCACATATCTCTCACCATTATACAAACAACATTACTGAATAAATATGGTGTCAAGACACCAATAGTGCAACTCTCAATACAATAAGAATGCTTAATTTCAACCTTCTTGCACATGTGATCAAGATTTTCGAGGAACTTTCGATCAAACTTTCAGTCGCTCTTGTTCTCAATTAAGTGTTTCCAATGGATACAAGATGGCAAATACCCCAATGATCACTTAAAAACTAACAATTTCTGATTCATAAAATGTTAAACTGATACAGTATGCATGGACCTGTTTACTTACTTGTGGCACACTGTGGGCCTGTGAAACCTGAGGGACAAACACATTTGTAGCTACCCAATGTGTTCACACACCGATATCCTGCCGGACAGACGGCATCACCTGTTGTACATTCATTGACATCTGGGGATAAAATAACATATGCATAATAAATATCATATCAACCTGCTTATCCTGTAAGGACCTAACCATAAAAATCAAGCAAGTTGAAATGCTACAGGGCATNATCTGTGCAGTTACCATTTAAACAAGGGTTGGGATTTTTACACCAGGATGAGTCTAAATACAACAAAAACAGTTAATTCATAGATATATATATTGAAAGGAAGTCCTTGTGATCATCATCTGTCATCCACACATATATAACAGACATCCTGTGATATATACAATAGTCTGTCAAGTTCATTGACATCTTGCAAAGCACTGCATTACCACAGTTCATCTCACTGTAAAAATATCTTTTGCAGACAAATTTGTGAGACAATTTTCCTTCTCGTTTCAAGAAAATCTCACATGACCTTGCAGGATAATTTTTAATTATTAGTCTTACTTACTACAAAGGGTTGGCATTTGGTAGCAGTGTATTTAAGTTGTGATAATCCCAAATTAGCATAAACTACTATTTTGTTGGCACAGAGCAGAGGGTTGGGTGCACACATGGGTTCAAAGGGCGAAGGGTAAAGAAGGATTAAAGTATGAAATTAGCTGCAGTTAGGAGAGTGAGACATTCTACATTCAGCCCTAGCTGTGTGCAGTTGTAAAATTTGTTTTTCTTTTTCTTCATTATGTGCAAATGTTACTATCCAATCTCTTATACTTCTTTAGTGCTGTTAATTAATTAAATTGCTGTAGGTGGCTTGGCTGTCCAACACGCCCAGTTTAATCATGATGATGTGTGTTTGGATGCATAGTGGAGGCAAAGTGGGGTTTATTGCTTTGAAAATGAGAAACAAAAACCAATTTCAATCATTCGGTACTCACTTGACTGACAGTATATTCCTTTCAGACCCGGAGGACAGACACAGTAATATCCATTGAGCTTGTCCACACAAGTTGAGTTAGAAGTGCAGTTATTGTTCTGACAGTCATCAATATCTGATAACAAAGAGACAATATTAACAACAAATTAAAGTTGTCTTAGTAGTCAAGAGTGGTTTTCAATTTAGTGTCAAAAGTAATCAGGCAATTACTTTGGTTTTGGTTTTGGTAAGGAGTGGGAAATTCTCTTTTGCGTTCACTAAAAAAAACCCAACATCTTAAACATATACTATTCTTAATTAGGTTGTGATTATTTTTACAAAGTCTCCACTGAGACTAAGAATATTATTTTTAACAGCATAGTTCTGTCAACTATTCCATCATCATTGTTGTAAGGTATTCTGTTATCGAAAGCACCTCCTGTGATACAAACCAGATCTTGCCAAAACACAAACATTCAAACAAACAAATACCATATATCCCCCCCAAAAAAACTGTCCAGAAAATACTCTTTCATTCCCTATGTGTCACTGGTGCACAAGGTATCTGTAACCTAAAAACCAAAAAGATTTGAATTACCTTCTGTGCAGTTAACACCGGTATAGCCTGGAGCACAGCCACATACATAGCTCGCATTGAATGTCTGCACACATTGTCCACCATGCTGACATGGATTTGGTAAGCATTCATTTATATCTATACATTGAAAGAAGGAAAGAAAGCACAGCTGTAAATAAAAAGAATGACAGAAACTGTGCTCTAAAGTGTTTAAACTTTGTCTACAGCATAGTTTAATAACTATATTCTTTAACTGTCAATTAGAGGGATTATATGTGTACTTAAAGGCATCTGCGGTGAAGTGTCGATTGATACCTCAATCATACCCTTAATCAATACTCAGTCGACACTCCATCAACACCTTGGTTGACACTTAGTCCACACTTGATTGCCATCTCAGTTGACAGTCAACAAACTTTTTATCAATGCACAAGTCAGTTGACAGTCGCCTGACTCTTGACCAACAGTGGATCAAGTGTCAATTGAGAGTCCATCAAGTGTTAATAGAGTCTCAATCGGGATATTGATCGAGTGTCAATGAAGATGTCAACTGAGTGTCAATCGCAGGTCAATCAAGTGTATCAATCAACACTCACTGGTGGATGCCTTTAGTACACATGATCCAATTGGAGTAATTTGTTAGATTTAGTGTATGGCAAAATAATCATGTATGATCCAACATCTGATTGTCCACTAATTTTCTATACTCAATCGACACTCCATCAACACCTTGGTTGACACTTAGTCCACACTTGATTGCCATCTCGGTTGACAGTCAACAAACTTTTTATCAATGCATGAGTCAGTTGACAATCGCCTGACTCTTGGCCAACAGTGGATCAAGTGTCGATTGAGAGTCCATCAAGTGTTAATAGAGTCTCAATCGGGATATTGATCAAGTGTCGATGAAGATGTCAACCGAGTGTCAATCGCAAGTCAATCAAGTGTATCAATCAACACTCACTGGGGGATGCCTTTAGTTCACGGATCCAATTGGAGTAATTTGTTAGATTTAGTGTATGGTAAAATAATCATGTATGATCCAACATCTGATTGTCCACTAATTTTCTGCATTCTAAAGAAGTAATGCCCAAATAATTGACATCTCCTTGGATCTGGCATATAACTTGTTACAAACATATGGTTTAGACTGCAAAGCTTTCTTATCAACTCTAAATACACATTCTAACATTCATGATATACCAATTTCACACTTGGTTCCATTCCACCCTGGGTCACACAGACAAGAATACACGTTGACACCATCAACACAGGTGCCATGTTGTCCACAATAACCAAACTCCGTCCAAGAACCTTCCCCTTCTTGGGAAAATATGTCATTCCTGGGATCACAGTCATCAATATCTGCAGAAAAACAATGATAAACACTTTGTGATAAGCTTCAACAGAAACAGTGAAATTTGTTTCCTCGATGCACTTAGTAAGTCCTGAGATTAAGCCAAGGGGAATTGAGTGGTCTTCACATTTCATTGATTTGGATATCACTCCAGTTGCAAGGATGCCCTGGGAGGATTCCCTTATGAAAAAGTTCAGGATACCAGTCGGAAAATTTGAATAAGACCAATCCAGCATGGCTTAAGCTGTATTGACCCCTAAAAGATACCACTTAAAAAGGAAATGACAGCAATTATGTCTTCAAGTTCACCCTAAAAGATACTTTGATGTTTTAAAATAGTGGTGTTTTGTCCCGAACACCCCAAGTGAGTCCAAAATCTATGATTTATACCCCTTAGCGTGACGACAAGCATCCTCATCTTTTTCACAAGGGAGTTCCCCCCTTCAGAGCATGCTGCACTACCAAGTTTGCCAGTCTTCAAATACATGACCTGATTACAAAGGAAGCCTAGCTAAGTTTCAAGCTGTAATGTTCCTCTCAGGTGATAGTTTGCACTTGGGAGCCATGAAAATANGTTTGAGTCATTTTTGGTGGCTTTGGAGAAATCAACAAATGAGACAAGAAAACATCTTAAGGGAGGGGTACCTACCCTGACATTCATCAATATTGACATCGCACAACCTTCCAGAATATCCAGCATGGCAGTCACAAGTAAAGTTATTGATGCCATCTTGACAGACACCATCATTACACAGTGAGGGTGAAGTACAGTCATTAATATCGGTTTCACAATCCTTCCCGGTGTAACCAGCCAGACATGTACACTAGAAAAGCAATGAAGAAATTTGATGGTCAACATGCAAATTCTCTAATATTAGTGTCTGGTTCCTGTCTGTTGACAATCTCGTTGGTGATCAATTCATTCATCCTCATTACTAATTTTGCATGATTATATATTTATAATGAAAGGAGAAATTGAGAGCTGATCAGTAAAAATTCAAACAAGTGAAATAACCTGCACAGGATACTACACACTAAAATGACTCATACGTTATTTATTATCTCACAGTTTCTTTCCTAAAAACCTTTTTTTTTTCTTTTCAAATCATGTTTTGTCCTGTGATAAACATTACTGCACCTTTCAGTGATAAACAAACTATGCTTAAGCAATGGTATTGTGTTTTGCTGCTGACAATCATCTTAGCAAACCTCTCAGGAAAAAAAGTTTATAATTACCTCAACGGGTTGAAAAGCTTTGTGTTAAGGTCTGCATTTAAATTAAGATTGGTGAATTTTGATCCATTTTGTTTGTTTCTGTTCTCAAGGTTCCTTGGCTGTCGTCGCAAGTTAGGTTTTCAAATGCAGAGTTCACATATTATTGAAAGATGTAGTAATGAGATGAGTGTCTATTAGCTTCTGTAAATTACTTCTGGAATTTCAAAAATAACATGTTTCCTTAAAAATCTCATGATCTTCATTTTAGCCAGAGAGCTGCAGAAATGAACCACACCTCTGACACTACCAGGAATTTACAAGAAATTTAAGCAACTCAAGTTTTCCCTTTGGCCTTTTTTCTTTGCCTTCTTCTAAATGAGAGCCATTTACTTTACCAGCAATGCATGTTGACTCTTACATTGTAGTCAAGATGCAGATCCTGACAAGTCGCTCCATTCTGGCAGGGAAGCAATGTGCATTCATTTGTGGAATTACTGCATGTCCGGCCAAGGTAACCATCAGGACAGCTACAGCGAAAGTTGTTCACTTCATCATGGCAGGTCCCTAGACAAAAAAGTTCATAATATAAGCTTGACTCAATAGAAGGGCTAAAAGGGATGATATCAGTACTTGTCTAAAGGCAATTAAAACAATAACAAAAAAGATTACAAAGCCATTTAGCCATTCTGAATTCAGCACATGCGGATCATGGGTGCTAAAGGCATCTGCTGCTGAGTGTCGATCAATACCCTCCATTCACCCTCAATCAACACTCCATCAACATCTCAATTGATGATTGGCTGACACTTGATTAATCGAGTGTCGACTGACTCATATGTATTGATCGAGACTCGAAGGCATGTCTGCAAAATAAGTTGACTCTTGACTCTTGATTGACTGTCAACGGAGATGTTGATCAAGTGTCGATCAAGTGTCAACTGAGATGTTGATCCAGAGTCAATCGAGTATCAATCAGGGGTCAATCAAGGGTCAATCGAGCGCATTGATTAAGCATATCCATTGATTGACTGCGGATGCCTTTAGTACAAATAATCCGTACATCCCACCCCAAACAACCTACCTCCATTACTGCAGATGCCGGGTTTGCAGTCATCAATGTTGGCCTCACAGTCACTGCCATTAAAACCTTGACGACAAATACATCTGTATCCATTGACTTGGTCAAGACACGTTCCATTGTTTTGACACGGCGATCCTTGGCAGTCATCAATGTCTTGTTCACAGTCCTGGCCAGTGTAACCAGGCGGGCAGTTGCACTGATAAGCATTTATCAGATCCTTTGGGAAGAAAATTGAAAGTGAAGTTAAAACTTTCATTAAAATAGGTTCATGGAGTATAGTAGAAACTACATATATGCATAAAATCACAGATTTCATAAATTTATAAATAAGTTAATATTGATTACTTTGCAAGTGGCTCCATTTCTGCACTTGTCTTGTTTACACTCATCAATGTCTGAAAAGAAACATCAGCCATTGTTGCTAAAATGTTGTTAAATGTCGGAATGGTTTCAGCTAAGGTTAATTTGTTTTAAGCTACATTTACTTGAAGTTATCTTTTTTCACCTTTTGGAAGGTCAATATAAAATCCAAGGGCATGGGGAGTCTCAAAGCAACAATATTAAACAATTAGATTATGAGCCTGAGATTTCTACTGTGTGATAGTTGACTAGGGCACAGCCCAAGTCAACTATCCCACATAGAAATCGAGAGCGAACAATCTAATTGTTTCAGTATAAATCTACTTGTCATTCAAAACTTTACATAAATCCTCCTCACAGACACTTCGAGAATGCCATGAAGCGGCCGTCATTTTGTTACCAAGTGCACACTGCCATGCTACTCACTATCTATCACAGAATAGATAAGTGAGTAGTGTAGCCAATCAGAGAACAGCATTCGTGATAGAATGCTAGTAGATTTATACTATTAATGAATAGTTAATGAAATTATACTGGAATTTCCAGAGGAGTGGGGGAGGTGAGGGTCAAGCAAAAAATCTTCTGTAAGGAGGATGTGGATATTTTCTAGAATGTCACAGTCTTTAATAATTAATACCTGTTTCACAGTTGACACCTTGAAATCCAGCCAGACAAGTACATGTGTGATATGTTTTGAAGTTTTGACATGTTGCATTGTTTTCACAAGGACTATCGGCACAGAGATCAATTTCTAAAAACAAGCATAAGCAGGTAAAAAGTGATTAATACATGCCACACCAACCTGTGGTACCTGATCAACCTCTGTTTTGGTTTTTCCACAAGTTAAGGTAAAGTACAGCTTTACATCATACCACTAGAATATAAAGCTGGTTTCAGCTACCCAAAGCACCCACCAGTATTGCTACCCTCACACCCAATTAACTCTTCAAATTTTGTTCTGTTTTCCCTGGAAGCCATTTGTATCCCTAAGTAGGAGTGTCACAAATTTTTTAAGTAGGGGTTTAAAGCTGGAATAGGCAGAAGACTTTGCCAGGAGTAGCCAGCTGAGATCATGAGGTAGATGTTGATTTTTGCCAACAGCCAGCAACTTTTGACAACCCTGCGGCTAGCTAGGTGGATCGGAGGGGTACTGTGCAATTAAAGTGTCTTTCCCGAGAATGCAACACTATATCCTTGCCCAGGGGGCGTGTTTAAAACACAACATGACAAAATGATGAATGGCACTATGGTTGGCCTTAATAGCACTCCAGGTATAACCTGAATATCACTGACTCAACAGTGGTTAGCTCTCAATAATTGTGTGGGTTAACCCTTAGAGACACCCTTATCTGACATTGACTCTTGCCAGTAGTGCCATTTTGTCATTTCATGTTTTTAACTTGTCCCTGCACAAGACATGAACCTGGATCACTCAATCCAGAGTCCAACGTACCACCATAAAGCCACCATTAACCTGCCCTATATACCACATGGAGTAAATGCACATATTGCATGCACTCTGGGTCCTACAAATACTTACCAGTCTGACAATTTTTACCAGTATACCCTGGCATACAGTCACACCGATAATCATCAGCTACTGTGTTGATGCAAGTCCCTCCATTCTGACAGAGAGGATTTCGGCACATATTCAAGTCTGAAATTAAAAAAAAAAATTAACAATGTCACATACCATTCACAGTTAGAAAGAAACATAAGCCAAAAGAATGCTGATAATATTGAGACAGTGCTGGACTTTTTGGCCACATAAAAAAGGCAATTAATCGTTTAGTCTATCACGCATACCTTGGTCACAGTTCAGTCCTGCCCAATCTGGACTGCAAATACAATCATTTCCATCCCTACAATAGCCATTTGCTGTCATGAAAAGAACAGTTTTAAGTTAGTAAAAAGCAGTGGCTCCATCAAAGCTGGTCCATGTGGTCTTAACAATGACACCATGAGAGCTGTGGGAAAGTTTACAATGTTAATTGTGGAAAAACGTTTTGACCAGGAAAGAAATGTGTCAGGAGCTGGAGGTTATCAGACAATACAATGCTGACTATTGTGAGTGAAAACAGGGAAGATGATCATATTGAGGAGAAGGAGA